TATCCTTTTTTGTAAATAATATTTTATTAGAACACAACCCTGCCCACTCATTTACATATTATCTATGGTTTCTTTTATTCTAAAACAGCAACAGAATTGAGTCATTGTGGCAGAGAGCTTATAGCTAGTAAAGCCAAAAATATTTTCTATATTACTCTACATAAAAAGCTTGCAGGTCCCAGATCTAGACTCTAATGTTGCATTGTCCAATATGGTGACCATTGACTGTATGTAGCTGCTGAGTGCTTGAAATGTGAGTGGTGTAGATTGAGATGGGTTATAAATATAACATATCAGACTCCAAGACTTGGTAAAAAGAAAGGAAAAGAATGGAAACTTCTCATCAACTTTTGAATATTGATTAAATGTTGAAATGATAATATTAAAATTAGTTTTGCTTATTTCTACTTTTAAAAAATGTGATTATTAGAAAATTTTAAATTTGACTCACATTAGATATCTGTTGACAGTACTGATCTAAAGTCTGGAATTTGGAGGATACGTGGCATCTAGAAAAAGTCAGAGAGAGAGAGGAAATTTGCAAATATCTTTCTGTATCACCAAGATATTTTGGGGAGTGGCAGGTACTGAGGATTAACCCAGGGGTACTTTACCCCTGAGCCACATCCTCAGATCATTTTATTTTTTATTTGGGACAGATCTTACAAAGTTGCTTGGGGGCTCACTAAGTTGCCCAGGCTGACCTCCAACTTGGCAATCCTCCTGCCTCAGCCTCTCAAGTTCCTGGGACTACAGCCATGTGCCACCACAGCTAGCTGCACCAAGAGTTGTTTTCAATGTAACAGTTCCTCATAGGGAGGAATATTTGAAAAGAGCATATTAGGTTGTCTGTGGAAATGGTCTCAAGGGAGTTCTCCTAGAATCCTACTCTGAGAATTTGACTTGGGAGGTGATCCAGAAAGCACCTGGAAGGGGAAGAAATATGGGAGGGAAGGAAGAGGAAAGAGGTTGTGTTAAGGTGGAACCCATGTCCCCTCCCAGTGAGGCCCTGGATGAGATTTTATGGACCAAGACTCAGAGTGGTTCCACCCAGAAGGTGAGGAAGCTGTGCTGTTCATCCCTCAATTCTAGTAGTTTCTGATGGAGGGCTGCTTTGGGGGCATTGGCCTCCCCTGACTCTCCCCAGTACTGCAGCCTTTCCTGCCTGGGGCCAGACACAGCCCTAGTACAGAAAGGCCCAGGTGCTTGTAGAAAACTCCATCAGCAAGCTTGGGAGTCATGTCTGCCAGAGATAAAGGAGTGGGCCCTTCTGGTGTCTGGTACCCAGATTAGACTGTTTTATCCTCAAATTCATAATTTTAGCAAACACGTGTACTTTCCTGGTGTATCTGTTTTTCTTGTGATCTTAAAAATAGCATACATAGGTAGATTGATCATGATCTGCTCGATATGGATGGGAAAACTGAACCCAAGACATGTCTAATCATTTATCCAAGAGAATCCAGCTAGGGTGGTAACTCAAGTCTCTTTGCTTTCATATGTGATCACTCATGCCTCACTTTTTGGGTTTCTAAAAAACTTGGCTTGATAAGGAGACATAAATATATTGAAGTTTTTAATGTGACAACAGGAAACTTAAGTTTTTGTACTGTGGAAGGTTTTAGACTTCCATAGTGAAGTTGATAGTTATGTCTACCTAGTCTTAAGACTCTTATGCCAAAAAAATGTTCTCTCTCTTTGGCATAAAGCACAATCAAAACCAAAAGGTTATCGAACCTACTGACCACCATACAGGATGTTAACGAATAGAGTTAACCTCCAAAAATGTTCCAGAGAAGTCTCTATAGTGGAAGTGGACACATGGCTGAGTGAAAAGTAGATTTTCTTCCTTTCCCACTACCCACGTTCTCTTCAAAGATGTTGTCAGCACCTTTGGTACTACTTGGAAACAAGTCTCTCTCTCAGCATAATTTCCCTTTATTATACTTCTAACTGACTCGATAATTCTTTGCGGACTTCAGTAACACTTGTACTATTTAAATTTGAATAACTCCAACGGATCTGGATAGGTCAAAGTGTTTAAATCACAGGCTTTAGTCTATGTATTAGTTGATTAAAAACAGATTTTATACATGATGTATACTTAATAAAGGGAGGGGGTGCAAGCAGATGTTTGTAAAATCTTAATGTGTTGGACTGCATTTATTTGGCTCTCTGACTAGCTTTAGAAAAGTCATACCTATGACAATTGAACTGTAAACAGTTAGATGATGTATTTCCCTAGAAATTTCCTGCTATGAAGGGTCAGCCAACAAGAAAAGTAAAAGGATTCCCTAAGATTAACACACAAAAAGAAACTGACTAATATACCTTATAATAGTCACATCTAAATCAAGGACAGTAAATAATGCAATACCTCAGAATTATTTTCTGGTCTTTGACCATAAAGTGAAGACCAGTTGGAGTTCATTTAATCCAAGCAGTAGAAAAACTTAAGGCTTTTGGTGGTGGGGTAGCGGGAAGGGTACCCCACCACCAAAAGCCTCAGAGCTTGGAAAGCAAAAAAATTTTTGATGCAAACATTACTTAAATCACTCTTTGACTTTCTGGCCTCTCTTTGTATCCCATCCTCTACATGGGGTTTTCTCTTTCAAAATAGTTATATTTGAGATGTTTTTGGTGTTTCCAATACAAAATTGATGGTTTCTTGTTGGTATTCCAGTCTGGATAAAATAGGCACAAATCTCACCCTGCATTCTGAATGCATGAGAATTATAGGCAAAATATTTTAAAGTGTATTTGGAAGAATTCATAACCAACCTTAAATGTAAGTAGAAAATATCCAGGAACCAGAAATGAAAGAAACTGTAGAATGGTGAGGGGGGAACTGAAGTTAGGCTGCTCTCAAGAAGTAGAGATGAGATGGGGCAATGGGGACTTCAGAGAACACATGGGGCAGTGTACTCTGCCTGTGGTAGAAGCCCCATACAACTGGAAGTAAAGACCCCCCCCCAACACACACCAGGCTCAAAGGACCCCTCACACCTCTGGAATTGAAGCCAGACATGGAATTCTCTCAGAAGGAAATAGAGGCACTGAGCCAAACCAGGATCTGAGCTTCCTTGGCAAACTGGTGTCCTGAGGGGAGCACCCTCTTTGTGGGGAAAAAAACCTTACGTCCTAACCTCAGAGTGTGCACTTCACTTTACTGGATATCTCAATCCTCAAATCACAGTATGGGGAGGAAAGTTAACATCAGATGAACTGTCAGACAAAACTTACAAGACACAAGATAAAATCAGATCCTTTGGAAACATGAAGCAAACACAGGAAAATGTGCAATTGCCCTTTCTCAAATGAGCTTAAGAATAAGTTATGTTTAGTTTTCTTGAAATTATGAAGAAGGAAATTGCATCTTTGGAAAAGGAGCAGAAAACAGTTCAACAAAGGGAGATGTGATAAGAACCTAGTTGAAATGAAAATACAGCCATTGGAATTAAAGAAAAATCCTAGACAATAAAATGTCAGATTAATAAATTTAATTTATTATAACCAGAGATTTCTGCTTTTGACTTCATTTTAAGCACTAGGTAAAAGTGATTGTTTTCTCCAATACACCTTTCTAAGTAAAAAGTTTTGGAAAGTAGGACAAGCTAAAAGTTCCATAAATTCTTCAGCCTGATGCAGAGGTTATCACCTTTATGAAAATCTTAGTTTTCAAACTCTCTGCACTCTTTACAAATCTTGTTTTGGGGGGTGTGTGTGCTAGGGATAGAACACAGGTCTTGTGCAAGCACTCCACCACTAAGTACACCCTCAGCATCCAAATCATCTTTCCCAGATGGCATTAAAAATCTGAGATCTATTAGCTTTTCCACAAAATTTCCCTTTGTTGCATATCTCCACTGTATTTGTAGAACTACTTATATGTTAAAGCATATATTTTCACTATACTTATACTTCCCTTATATGATATTGATCTATTTCCATATGCTCACTTCCATCTGCATTTAATCTCTCCAAGAAATGACGATTTGGGTCCAACAAAAAGTCTCTACACATCCTTCCACCCTCAGACAAAAGACTTTGCCCCCCTGGGAAACCTTTAAGTAGCCATGGATTCTCTCCCTTCCCTTATTTCCAACATCTCTCTCCCAATTGCACAGCCATCTCCTTGTGAATAGGGAGTAGATGCTTTTATTTTTGCTTCTCCAGTAATTCTCTGAGTCTGACATATATTAGAAGCTTAATAAGTACTTGTTGTGTGAATGGATAAGTAAATGAATGAATGTTATAAATGAAGAACTCATGGAATGAGAAGGAATTTAAATGAGTCTTACCCAGAACAGAGGGTTATTGTGGTTGAAAATATGATTAAATATTCATTCCAGGGAACTTTAAAAATCTGATGCTCTAAAGGAATAAGGAATGATTCTATAATCTTAAACAGGACAGTGATATAAATAGAGTGTTCAAGGAAATTTTCTTTGGCATTGATAGACAAAGAATAGAAGCATGTACAATAAAATGTAGTATGAGTAAATGTGTGAGACAAGAACGTCTTATAAATGCCTGTAAATGGGCATATTGTCAGGAATAGCTGATCAAGTTAACTTCCTTTCAAGAGATTTACCTCCGCCTGACCACAAAATGGTAAATCCTAAAAATTCAGAAGTAGGTGATTTGATGTGGGAATATGTTCTTTATATTATTGCCATTTCAGATTCAGGTAAAGGGATAAAAATCCAATTATTTCCTTTTCCCTAGTTCACCACCTAGCAGTAACCCATAACTAATTATTTGGTTAAATATCAGAGTTCGTACAAGAAGTAGAAACAAAAAGATGAAGTTTGAGTACTTTTACAAAGTTATTTGAAATGCAACTTTTGAAAATGCAGTTTGAATCTATAAATACTTGAAGCTGCATCCATTTCACTGGTTTCTGAAAAATGTATCAGTTTTTCTGAGTATGAGTAGTTTTGTATATATTAAAATATGAAAGTATGCAGAATAACATTTTTCCTCTCTTTTTTGAACAGCAAAACTTAGAGAGTAACCTCACCAATCTTATTAAGAGGAACACGGAACTGGAGACCCTTTTGGCTAAACTCATCCAAACCTGTCAACATGTCGAAGTAAGTGTCTATCTCTGTGTGGCATATTCCTTGTGAAAACTTCTAGGTCAGCGTTTTTATATCCACATGCTTTCAAATTTCAAAGTCATCTTTGTTCAAATTGATTCTTCTGAAGAAGCCAAATATATAAGATGGATGAAATTAGAAAGAACTAGAACCTCAGCGAATCTCTTCCCATCCAGGACTGTTTCCCCTCTTTTTATAGCTCTCCTTGATCCAGCATTGCATAGCATTCCTAAGTACAGATTTTAATCACTTCTACAAAGAACAGTCAAAGAAATCACTATTTATAAGGTATTCTGTTAGTTTACTAGGGCTCCTGTAACAAATTACCACAAGCTTGGACAGCATAAAACAATAGAAATTTATTCTTTTACAGTTCTGGATGCCAGAAGTCCAAAATTCAAGGCCCTCCTTCTGTCTGAAGTCTGAGGGAGGATCCCTCCTGTCTCTTCCCACCTTTTGGTGGACTTCCTTGGTTTGCAGCTGCAGCATTGAATCTATGCTTTTGTTGTCACATGACATTTTCCCTATATGTCTCTGTGTCCAAATTTCCTTCTTCCTGTAATGACTCCAGTAATTGAATTCAAGCCCACCTTACTTCATTATGATTTCACTGTAACTTGATTACATCTGCAAAGACCCCATTTCCCAAAAAGGCCCAATTCATAGGTACCATTGAACATATTTTGGGAGGCACAATTTAGCCAACTACACATATATATTAAATGCTTCTTATTTGCAACATGTTTCCATACATCAACCACAATTGCACCAATAACAACCTGCAATGATACTGTACCTCATATGGGAAAAATGGATGCTAGTTGCTTATGGCAATTTTAGAGGCCTTTTCCAACTTCTCTGACCCTGGCTTTCCCACTACCCACACCCCACACACTGAAATGAAACAATTGCTTATTCACCCTGCCTTCAAGCCTTCTGGCCTTTAGCCCAACAGATCCCTCTGCCTGGTAGCTTCACCCGTACCCCATGCCTCGTTGTCTGAATCATTCCTATCTGTCCTCCAAGTTCTGACTTGAGGAATACTTTAATTGTGAATATTTCTATGGTTCTCTGAACCAGACTCATCCCTCCTTTCTCTGAATCTCATAACATTTTATCAATAATCTTGTAGTTTTAATCACCATTTCATGTATTGCTTCCATTTTTCCAATTAGAATATAAGTTATTTGAAAACAGGAAACAAATGCAGTTTATCTTCAAATCCCAGATTCTTGCATAGTAATTTTTATACAGTTAAAGCTCAGGAGCCCATAAATATGTATGATTTCAATGTTTTTATGTATCAGTTAAAATAAATTTTTAAAAAAGCTCAGGGAAAGGGCTGGGATTGTGGCTCAGTGGTAGAGCACTTGCCTCGCATATGTGAGGCACTGGAGTCAATACTCAGTACCCACATCAAAATAAATAAAGGCATTGTGTTCATTTACAACTAAAAATTAAGAAAAAAAGCTCAGGAAATTTGTTTTGTACAAATATGCACAATGACTGCAAATAGCCAATTTGAACACTAATAACAATTAAAGTACAGTGTGGTAGAAGGTGAGGCCCTGAGCTAGTAGATTATTGCATTTTTTAAGATGCATGCTTTTTCACAAACCAGTTTGTCTGAAATTAGATTACAACTTCAAAAAGTTAATAATGGGGCAAGTTAAATGGTTGGCATTTTTTTCTTTCCTACTAACACAAAATATGAGTGAGATATTTTCCAGCATTCTAGATTGGATAAATATGATATGTGGAGGGGGAATTAAAAGAGAGGAACACAACTTAGCTGAAGGTTTAGTGGGGAGTGAGACTTTAGTAGATTTCACACAAGCTGTTTTAAGAAATACTTCAGCATTGGGGGTAAGCTTATTTGTACAACACAATGGTGTTTAGCAGTGATACATTCTTCAGCATGGTAAAAATCAGTAAATGCTGCTTTCAGGTACTTTCAGCTTAAAAGCATATCTACTATGCAAACACTGGTGCTTTGAGGGAAGGTTTCAAATACTTAGGTTCATAAAGTTTGTACTTTTACTTACAAGTGCTCTCATTTGATTGAAAGTTTAAAATTGGTTACTGAGAAACATGTGAGCTGGAACTCCTAATTTGTTATGCTTTTCTGTGATAATATCTAAGGGGTAGGAATTAGATGTGTCCTCCTCCCCTATCTGAGCCATTCAATCTATGCTGATGAGCAGGCTGTGATGGGTGGGGGATGGAAAGACATATACAATGAAAAGGGAGGAGCAATAAGAGCAAAATGGTGGTGAGAGACTAGATTAGAGCTGGTCAAATAGCTCAGTGGTTCACGTCATAGAGCCCCTTGACTTAAAGAACTATGTGAGCTTGAAGGTAGAGGCAATCTTTTTATTATGTTGGATGAAGTAGGAAGTGTGAAGGCAGCAGCAACAGAGACAGCATGTTGTGCCAGACCTTTCTATTCTTCTGCTTCAGTAGGATTTACTTGTGTCAGTAATCTCCCCTGGGAACACATTGAGTCTTATTGATAAAACAACATTGGAAGTAGTAGTGAACAAGCATAATGTTTTCATTATGGCAGGGTAAAGTAAATATGTAGCACACAAATAAATGGATGAACAAAATAGAATGATTCGTGTGCTATATTTTATTTTTATGATGCAATGTCATTTGATATTTAGAATAGTAAGAAAGAATAATTTTTCATTGGTTAAAAAATACCTGTGCTTTATGGTAAATCTTATAAATGCTTTATGGATAGGGTGATTATTTCATTCAATTTCTGCTAGTTACTTCTTAAAGGCATTAGTGTCTGGTTTCTATTATGACTGGTAGTGATTTCAGAACAAATGCCTTGTTCCTAATGCAATATTAATATGACTTGAATTTACAAAATGCAATTCATCCTAACATGATGTCAAGTTACATTCTATCATGTTCAGTAATTTCAGATGAGAGATAAACTCAAGAAATTGACAAGCAGACTATTTTTATTTCAAGATATCAGATATTATTTTAGTTGAGATATGGGCTTTTAAAATGAAGCTATTACTGAGTCAATTGTTGCAGTTTTGCAAATAGACACATATATGTCATCAGAAGTTATTCTAGATAAGGAGTAAAGAATATTTGTAGCTTTCTCTGTTGCTTTGTATAAATCTTTTGGAATGGAAAAAAATGTTTACAGGTGAGTAAATTCGGAATTCAGGACATTTACTCTAGACAAAAATTAAATTATTTATGAGTAGAAAAATAATGATAGTGGAAGTACCTAGTTTTACATTTATTCCCTATCAGTTCTCATATAATAATTGAATGAGTACATACCAGATTTATTTATCTCATTAATGAAGGAACCAGTATGGTGTTAAAGATGGTTCAAAAGAGGATACCCAGAAACTGATCCATATATACATGGGGGTGGGGGTGGGCAGGGAGCAGTAGGGGAAAAAGAATGCGAGAATGACAGAGCCAAATTAGCCACAACACTGATCAGTGACCCATAGGACAACATGGCAAAAACATTTGGGTAAAGTAAGTTGCATGACACCAGTTTTCTCTAAGTTCATATCTACCTTTGTGGAGTCTAAGCCATGATCAATATCAAATACAAAGCCCGACTGTGTTCCATTCCAGTTTGGAGAGTCAGGTAATCCGGACTGAGCCTGGCTTCATGGAGTATTACTAGTATGACATTGGAAGGCACACTGTCTTCTCTTTGTCTTATTTCCATGTTTTGATTAATTTTGCTTAAGATGACCTTCTATTGTGGAGACTGTTGGTCTTTGGACTCTGCTGTATGTTGCACCATGCTAGTTGCAGAGAACCCTGTTCACAGGGAGCTATCTTCACTAACACAAAAGATTACTTACAATATAATAAAAAGTAAAACTGTAATTGCCATGAGTGAGGTGTGAGTAATATACAATTACTTCCAGCTAGGGGTGGGAGAGGGCACATGTGATCTTAGCCTTCCTTCAAGGGAAGGCACCATTTGGATTTACCAAGAGAGAGAGGAACAACACTGCTTGCAGTGTTGGAACAGGAAACAAGGACTGAATGAATATAGAGCAAATGGTTTTATCTGGAGAAATGGAAAATGTGTAGGAAGGAAGAATAGGTAGGAACCAGTTTTGAAGGGATGGGAGCTGGAATGCCTTTCATAATTGCATTTGAGTTTGAACTTTGCCCTTGAAGGTTCACAAATGTTGAAGGAACACAGACCTCTGTAAGTTTCATACTTACAATTGAAATCCCTAATTCTTTTGAGGAAATAATAATTTCAGTTAGTGTGAAAATAATATGTATGTCTTTGTGCAAGACAATCACCCATGCAAGGGAAAACTTCACAGCACTAGGAAACTCTAAAAAGTTAGTGGAATTTGTTAGGCACCAGCATGCTATTCTTTTAAATCACTGAAGTGGAAAAGAATTTCCTGATTCACATCCGAGGTTCCTAGACTGTACTTCTTCCTTTTCCTCTTCCTGAAGGTGTCCTTGTATTTGGGTCTGAGCATTTCTCAAGAAAATAATTCCCATGCCAGCTGGAGCCAAAAAAACTCCCAGCACAGGGGCAACTCCTAATTGTTGTAAATTAAATCAATGAATTCCTTCCCATGGACTCAGGGAGGAAATGCCACATCCTTATAAGTCTACCCCTCCTCCTGGGCTTACACCTTTGGTTTTCTTTAAAATGGAGGAGTTTGAAGGCCTTCCCCCTGACCCTCATTGTTTTCATAGCTTGTTTTATAAATGAGGATAAGCAACCAAAATGGCTTTTTGATTGTGTAATTGCCAAGTCTTATTCAAACTAGAGAACAGAGGATATGAAGGCCAAGACATTTTGTGACTGAGGAGGCAGAGGCTTTGAAAGAGGAACTTTGGTTTACCCAAGAAATGTTTGTGTAACTTCATGGCTGGGATTCTAAAAACAAATGAGTTTTTAGCTGCTTTGTTTTTTTGTTTTTGTTTTTGTTTTTTTCCTGTAGGAGAGAAAGATAGTAGAAAGT